TATCTGAAATCTTCTCAACCTGAACAACATAAAAAAGAAGAAAGCTCACCAAAACCTGCTCCATGGCTAATTGAGATGCCAGAAACACAGTTCAACGGATGAAGGCTTGGACTTCAAGCCCGATAGAAAAGGTTGGGGCATTTGATCAGAATATTATTGGATATGGAGATGAGTTTTGGGAGCGGATTGGTCGTAATGTATACCTATAATGGAAATATGAAGGGTTGCAGAAACGAAGGGTTGAAGTTGCGAACCTTCGTGGTGAGCTCTCGTCGTTACTTCCAATTGAAAGAAATAATGAATGAAGTAGCTCCTTTTTTTAAGCAGAACAAACAACTCTTAAAGTATATCAATGAATGAATAGTTCCAAAATAAACAATTTGAGGTGTAGTTGTTAAATACAAATTATACATATATAGTTATTTACATTTATAACATCTTTCTGATAGCCTTTGAGAATCTTCGGAAAGCATAAATTTACTCATCATGGTTGATTTGTTTCCTTGAAGCAGTAGGAATCTTTGCAATCTCTATCAAAAACTTGTAGTAGGGAGACTGAAAACCCTTCTACTCCAATCCATCCAGATTCACAGGAAGAGATTGAGTGCAGTTGGACCCAACAGACTTCACGACATTCATTTTGCAGCGAAACTCCTACCCAAAAGAGGGGGTATAACTCATAAGTATAATTTTATATTATTTCAAAATTGTGATGTTATTCATGCTTATTTTATTTATTTTGTCTTGTGAAAATGAACAAGGAAATCCTATCAAGCGTAGGAGGCGTACAACATGTGCTGATATACAAAATATGCCGTCAGGGACACGAATTCACATAGAATTAAGTGAAAATAACATCCCCTGTAACATCCTTGAGTCCATTTTGCTAGGATCATATTTTGATTTGTTGCAAGAGACTTGTTTTGGCTCCAATAGCTTTTCCTGATTGGAGAAATAAGAATATGGAGTCCTTTAAAAGGAAGATGTTGGCAGAAATTGAGGTATGTATAATCTACAATAAATTTAATTTTTTTCAATTATGTATTATTAACCATATAACATTATCAACTACATTATAAATTTGAACGTTCTAATCATATACGTCATTAGATTCTTCAATCCTATTAGTGTTAAAAGGTGTAATTATAAAATCACATTAAAGGTTGAGCATTGGGACAGTAGACCAATTGAGAAAAATTTTGGTGATTGTTCTAAATGGAGTTGATCAAATGCAATGATGTCAATTTGTTACATAATGGTCAAAGCCAGATGATCAAGTATTGATGTTAAACTTGTTTGTTAAAAAATTATTACTATTATAAATTTTTAAATTTAGCATTATCATGTAGGAAAGGACAGTCAAAAATTCTACGAATGCCAAAAAAATAAACTTGTCCTCACACAATGGGTTGTGTGAGCTCAGTTCGAACACTGAAGGAAAAGATATAAATTTAACTTTAGTTAATTATAACTACTAAATATTTCATTTATAAACTTATATTTTTATTATAATTTTTTTGTAGTCTATTAATGACATATTACAATAATGGAAAATCAATAGGATGCACAAAGATTGAACTTGATCAACTTAGGATGCTATGCAGCGATTGGTACATATATATAGTGATTACAAATTCTTTTTTATAATCAGTTCTAGAACAAATTTATATATAATTGTAATGTAGACGCAAGCATGTAATATTCTTACCGAGGAAAGACTTACACCTGAAGATGGAAACATTGAAGCTAATGAGAGAGTCTTTAGTATAATTATGAGACCAGAATATTCAGGTCGAGTTCATACCCAGAGATTTGATGTCACACCAACCAAATACTTTCCTTGAAGCAGAAGTAAAGCATATTATGATAGTGGTAGCAACTTTGCTTAGAGAGCTAATCTTAAAGAGTAGTTCATATTATTTCGTAATGATATGAGACAGTTCAGCTCATTTCGTGATGAGATGAGATTATTTATGCAATAATTTCAAATGAATCAACCACCTTATGGAGGATAAAAAATGGTATAATTTTTTTTTGTATTTTTTTATGTAAATTGCTTGATTATTAGTATCTTATTATCTTTATACTATTTTTCAGAATGACAATGACAATTCATCCCTAACAGTATTCTAGAAACTTTAAATTTGTTCTACTGATGAGCTCTAATATTTATTGTGATTATTCTAGTTGTATGAATATTTTATACTTTTGAACTTATATTATTTTGATTTTGAACTCTAGTGATTCTTATGATGTTTGAACTTATGATGCTTGCACTTGTAATTATATTTCCTTAGCTTCTCATTGCTAGTTATTTTCTGTGATTTCAATTACTTTGAAATCTTAAACTTGAATTGAGAATATTATTGCTATGTTGCTTATGTGTATATGAGATTACAGTGGACATTCAAATTTTGTGTTTTTAAAAAAAAATTCTGAACATTTGTTGTTGTTTTGTGTTTTCATTCTCAATTACACAACTAATTTTAAAAATGTGACGATTAAAATCGCCGGGATAAGTAAAAAATTGTGATGTGGTAACCCTATTTTTTGGTAGTTTTGCAATTGAGAAAAAAATACAAAACCGATGCAAGTGTACAATTTCTTTTAAAACACAAAATCTGAATGTTCACTACAATCTCATATATACATAAGCAACATAACAATAATATTCTCAATCCAAGTTTAAGATCTCAAAGTAATTTAAATAAAAAAACAACTAGCAAGAAGAAAGTAATAAAATATAATTACAAGTAAAATTATCGCAAGTTCAAATATCACAAGAACCACGAGAGTTCAAAGCAAAACAACATAAATTCAAAAATACATAAAATATCCATACAACTAGAAACATCACAACAAATACCAAAGCTTATCAGCATAACAAACTTAAATTTCTAGAATATTGTCATGCATCAAATAAATTGTCATTGTCACCCTGAAAATAGTATGAAGAAAATAAGATAGTAATAATCAAGCAATTTATATTAAAATTATATAAAAAAAATCATACCATTTTTGATCCTCTATGGGAGAGATTATTCTGTGCGGACATCGGACGGGAGCACCGTCCGGTACCTGCTTGGTACCAAGCATCGATACCGCACTCAGTACACTTTTGGGGTGATGACGTATTTTTGTTAGTCTCTGGACAACATTCTAACTCCACACAGAATAAAAATTCTCTCCATAAGGCGGTTAATTCATTTGAAATTATTGCATAAACTATCTCATCTAATCATAAAATAAGTTGAATTGTCTCATCTCATCACAAAATAATATGAACTCTTTTCTAACACAAGCTATCTGAGCAAAGTTGTTACCGCTACCACCAACTGCAACACTTCTGCTTTGAGAAAAGTATATGGTCGGCATGACACTAAATCCCTATATATGAACTCAACCTAAATGTTCTACTCCCATAATTATACTAAAAACTCTCACATTAGATTTAATGTTTCCGTTTGAGTAAGCCCTTTTTCGGTAAGAAGATGACATGCTTGCGTCTATATTACAATTACATATAAATCTATTGAAGAACTGATTATAAAAAATAATTTGTAATCACTATATATACGTGCTCATCGCTACATAACATCTTCAGATGACTAGTTCCCATCTTTGTGCATCTTATTGATTTTTCATTATTGGAATCTATCTTTAATAGACTACAAAAAAAAAATTATAATAAAAATGTATGTTTGTAAATAAAATATTTAATAGTTATAATTAACTAAAATTAAAGGTATATTATTTCCTTCTGTCTCTGAACTGAGCTCACACGACCCATTATGTGAGGATAAATTTGCTTTTTGGTATTCCCAGAATATTTGGTAGCTCTTTCTTATATTATAATATTAAATTTAAAATTTTATAATAGTAATAATTTTTTTAACAAATAAGCTTAAATTCAATACTTACTTGATCCTCTGATTTTGATCATTGTGTAATAAGTTGATACCATTATATTTGATCAACTCCATTTGGAACAATCTTCATAATTTTCTCAATTAATCTATCGTTCTAGTGTTCAGCCTTTAATGTAGTTTTATAATTAAGCAATTTAATACCAATGGATTAAAGAATCCAATGGCGTATATGACCAAGAGCTCAAATTTAGACTGCAGTTAACAATGTTTTATGGTTAATATTACATAACTGAAAAAATTTAAATTTACTGTGGACTCTACATATCTCAATTTCAGCCAACATCTTCTTTTTGAAGGGCTCCATACCCTTATTTCTCCAATCAGGAAAAGCTACTAAAGTCAAAATAGGATCTCTTGCAAAAATATCAAGATATAATCCTAGCAAAAATGGACTCAATGATATTATAGGGGATGTTATTTTCATTTATCTCTATGTAAATTCGTGTTCCTAGTGACATATTTTATATATAAACACATGTTGTACGCCCCATATGCCTGATAGGATTTTCTTGCTCATCTTTACAAGGCAAAATAAATAAAATAAGCATGAACAGCATAACAATTTTGAAATAATATAAAACCATACCTATGAGTCATAACCCCCTTTTCTGGGGCAGGAGCTTCGCCGCAAAATGAATGTCATGGAGTTTGTTGGGTCCTACTACACTCAATCTCTTCTTATGAATCTGGGTGGGCTGGAGTAGAAGGGGTGGTTTCAATCTCCCTATTACTTTCTTCTCTACTTAATCCTCCTATAATTGATCCACCTCAGTATATCGTCTTTTTTGCTCTGCTAAAAAGGCTGCATCCTATCATTTCCTGCAAAAAAAAAAAATAATAATAACTATAAATGAAACATCAAACAAAGAAATAAAGATCAAAATACATCTAGGTTAGTGGACAAGAATGAAACATTAAACTACAAAGAAACGACCGGCCAAGGAGATCAAGAAGAGCTATAAATAAACAAACGGACTTGAGGCTTTGATGCAATCGATCGACTCACTCTCCAATAGAATGCCAAGATCTATGCACGAAGAAGGAAAGAACAGGAAGAGGGAATCGCGCTAGCTTGCAAAGAAGGTGGAAATCGAAAGCGTGAGCGAAGGTGATCGAGAAGCCAGCGTCCGATCGGGTTTAAGACCTAGGGTTTTGTTTGGTTATCCCAGCAGTTAATACTGGTGGTATTTGCATCGGTTAAAACTGGTGCAAATAGCAACAGTTTTAACATATTCAAAACACTCATTTTAGTGTCGATTTTCAAACCGCCTCTAACAAATGCTGCAAAAAACTCTGTTTAGTAGTGAAATCATTGAACCAAGCACATGCAGACTTGAAGGTTTACTTGAACCGTCATGACTATTCACCTAGTACATTAGTTGTTTCATTTGGTTGACCAAAATCCCGTGACTAATCATGACCAGATTCGATTAATCATGATCATTTTCATTTATAAAGTCGTATCCTGTAGAACATCTAAGAAGCCAATCTCACATGTGAAATTAATCTGGTAAAAGTACTTAACCCATTTTATTTTTCCTCTGAAGGGAACAATTTTCTATAGCATTAAATATAATTCATGATAGTGATGACTAAGTTCCAAGTTCTTAATCCTGTGATCTTCCACCTATGAAAGTCTTCATACCCTCAAATCACTCTTAATAGATTTCCCAACATCTCCTATCACTAAATAAAAATTGTCACCACCAAACTCTAACTTAAAACTTAAAAGTCCAACATAGCCATTATATATAAAAAAGGACAAGCAGAAAAAATAAATAAAGGCCTATCGGTTAAAAGAAGAGAAAGGCGGATGAATTTTTCCAACTCTAGGCTAGTGTGCAAGCATTTTCTTTCAGGCTGATGTGCAAGCATTAAAAAAAAAATCCTAGGTTAGGGGACAAACCGGCCAAGGAGATCAGGAAGATCTGGAACGAGCAGACAACCATACTTCAGACTTTGATGTAGTCGACGATCATTCGATCCACGCACTATGCACGGAAAGGGGAAGAGGGAGAGCTGCGCTGCGCAAACAATTCCAGAGAGGTGAAAGCGAGAGAAATGAGATGAATCGAGAAACTAGCATCCAACCGGCATAAGGGGAAGGGTTTTGGCTATAGCAAGGGTTAAAACCACTGCAAATACCTCCTTTTGGCGGCAATTTTCAAACTGTCCCTAACAAATGTTGCGAAAAACCTTTTTTTTTAGTAGTGCTTACACCTCTACATATTGGTGAGGTGGCATGGACTAAATGAATACATGATTGATATGATATTATGATATCATTTCTTACAATGAATGCATACAGCTAATGTGAGATAGATTCTCAAACATGAACATGACAAGCTTCGCAGGTTCATACTTGACAGCATAACATGTACATTTCAAGTCATTGCAAGCCTGAGATAGATGTTATGTATATGATTTAATGGATAGCATGACAAGGTTTAACGATGTAAATGACTTACATCATGGCATGAAACGACTTAATGGCATTGCAAGCATGCATAATATTACTCTTTTATGCATTGAACTGTGATTGGATTTGTATAACCTATGATGCTCACAATAATTGCATTTGCATGAGTAGATGGTTTCAGGTAAGGGTAGAAAGTCAATGGAATAGAAGATCATGCTTTAAACGCATTCTTTTCCGTGATGTTTATGTATAATGCAATTTTTTTGTGCTTATATATTGATGTGTAAGTTTTTGTTATATAAGAAAGATCACGGTATTGCATATTAGTTATTTTGGGTTCTAAACATTACAATCCTTGCAAATATAAACTTATATTTTCTTATCTGTTCTATACTTTCCTGTAATGAATTTAGAGACTGTATAATTGAAAATGCCTAAGTCTCGTTGATAATAAAGTAGTGTGTACAGAAAGGAGAATGGGTTTCTGAAAAAAATTGGAAAGATAAAGTGAAATGATAAATTAAAGAGATGTTCAGTGTAATACCAATTGAAGACAATGCAAACAAGAAAAAGGTCGGTTAATTTTTGAAGAACGGATGGCGAAAATACGTACTGATGAGAGGGGGGGTGGTAAAATCAAATTTTGATAATAATGATGAAAAGTTGCTACAAATCCTGCAAAGAGATACGCTAGCAAATTAAACAAATTATTTCATATAGCACTAAAAATGAATGAATGAGAGATATCTAGAGTGCTATCCATTAAAAATAAGGTAGAAGAAAAAAGATTGGGTGATTCAGGGAACATCAATTGCACTAATAAAAGGATATAAAGAAAATGTAAAAGGACTAAAAATAATGAGTATATAAAATGTAGCATGAATAAAGATCGAGCTAAAACACACAAATTAAAGCTAACACCTCATGCATCACTTAACATGAATGAATTGAAAAGCATTCCTTTCAAGTAAGATCCCAAATAGTTCAGGTAAGCCTAAAGAAGAAGAAGAACTGAAGTCGATAACATGAGATATATGTCCTCATTGAAACCAGCTGTAGCAATAACGTGATAGAAGAAAATATATCACTTTTTTATCAGCTTTAACTGGATTGGATAAGAAAATTTTAAACGTCGCTAGATTGGGTCTGTACAAGGTATATTTAATTGGAAAGCTAGAAATACTGGATAATTTAGAGGAAGAATAGAACAAGAAGAAGAAATCCAGCTAGTTCAGATGACATTGTACAAGAAGAAGTCTTTCTAATTAAATTCCCATATCAATCTTAAATATAATGCAAGATAAAATCGAGTGATTCTTTAACAAAGCCAAGTGAACCCAGATACAACAACAACAACAACATCAAGCCTTTATCCCACTACGTGGGGTCGGCTACATGAATCTTTTTTCTCCATTGTGTCTTATTAAAGATCAAATTCTCGTTTAAAACTAATAAACAAAGGTCATTCCTAATATTTTCTAACCAAGTCTTTTTAGGTCTGCCTCTACCTTTCTTAACATAAGTCAAATCTAATACCTCTACTCTCCTAACCGGGTCATTTGAAGGCCGCCGTTTTATGTGACCAAACCATCTAAGGCGAGTCTCTCTAATCTTATCTTCTACTGGAGCTACTCCAACCTTTCACGTATATGCTCATTTCGTATCCTATCTCTAAGGGTAAAGCCACTCATCCACCTGAGCATCCTCATCTCTGCCACACTTAACTTAGTATTATGTTTCTCTTTTAATGGCCAACATTCAGCACCATAAAGCATTGCAGGCCTCACTACCATCTTATAGAATTTTCCCTTAAGTTTGAGGGGTACTTTTCTATCACACAACAAGCACGATGCATTCCTCCACATTTACCATCCAACTTGAATTCTACTGATAATATCCCCATCTATTTCACCATCACTCTAAACAATAAATCCAAGATATATAAAACGTGTACTCTTATTAATGACTTGATCGCCCAAAGTCACAATCCCCTCACTATGTCTATTATTACTAAAATTACACTCCATATATTCCGTTTTAGATATACTCAAGCGAAAACCTTTTAGTCTCTAATGTTGACCTCCATAATTCAAGTTTACTTTCAACTCCCTCTCTAGTCTTATCAACAAGAAGAATATCATCAGCAAAAAAGCATACACCAAAGTACATCCTCTTGCAAATGTCTAGTGAGAACATCCATGACTAAAGCAAAAAGATATGGGTTTAAGGATGATCCTTGATGTAACCCAACCGAAATAGGGAAATACTTGGTCAAACCACTTTGTGTTTGAACACAAATAATAGCTCCTCCATACATATCTTTAATGATTTGAATATAAGCATTATTAACTCATTTTTTTTCAATAACTCTCCATAGCACTTCTCTTGAAACTTTATCATATGACTTTTCTAAATCAATAAATATCATATGTAGATCCTCCTTGTTTTCTCTATAGTTCTCCATCAAACCTCTAAATAAATGTATGGCTTCCATAGTCGACCTACCCGGCATGAATCCAAATTGATGTTGAGAAACATTAGTATCACGCCGCAACCTATGCTCCATAACTCACTCCCATAATTTTAAAGTATGACACATTAACTTAATTCCTCTATAATTCTCACAATCTTGTGCATCACCTTTATTCTTAAAAATAGGGATTAACACACTCATTCTCCACTCATCTGGCATCTTTTTAGTCTTCAAAATAGTATTAAAATATTTAGTAAACCAAAAAATTCCTTCATCTCCTAAGCATTTCCACACCTCTATTGAAATATCATCAGGTCCAACAGCTTTTCCTTCATCTCCTATGACACATTAACCCAGATACAAGAAACCTGAATTTAAACAGATGGCTGTGATTAAAATAAGAGGAATTACCTCAAGTAAGGCTTTCAGAATCCATAAAAACGTCAGTATCAACACTCCGTTCACCTTTAAACGCGCCTAGTCCAAACACGCCCGACTCAATCAGCAAACATGAAACAATTTCCATCGATAACAGTAAGATCTCAAAAAAGAATATATCTTTACGAAAATAACAAAGAAAATAGTGGATTTGGAGTGCGACGAACCAGTTTGGTTGAGACTGATGGAGGCAATACCGATCGAAAGGCTTTGCGAGCCCGACGGGATATTTTTCGAAAGATTTCACGCAGGAACCGTGCAAGGAGATCCAAACTCCGATCTTCCTCCTCGTTTTCTCCGCTATCGTCGTCACTAACCGCGGCATCCAAATCGAAGACCCGCGTACGGGGATGCGGCAACACTACGTTGGCCTCCTGACTCCGATGGATTAGGCTTCTTGAAATCACTTTTTCTTCGTGGAAATTTGATCAAACGTGTGGAGAGTGAGTTAAGAAAGATACCTGGGAGTTGATTGGGTATTTCCTGGAGGCGTGGAGAGTCGACTGTGATCGGGAAAATTATTCTGCGCGGACTTCCAAAATTATTCTGCGCGGACTCCGGAAGTAGCTCTCCGGACTCCAATTAATTAATAGAAGTGGATTTCTTAAGATCCCATATCCGATTCAATGGTTATAACAATTTTTAAATCATGACAGCGCATTATTTTATGTTAAAGAAAAAAAAGATACGTAGAAGTTCTCAAATATTTAAAATTTTTACTCAAGTAAAAATTTTTAGTGTCTGATAAAAAAAAATAAGACAGACGATGAAGATTAATTTGTAGGACATCGCATTCTCTAAGAGATATTAGAAAAGAAGAAAAGTTTAAGAGTAAAATGTATATTACTTATCTAATAATTTCTTTTCAATGTATATTATGAAGTAATATACGTTTTGTTGAGTTTAATTTTTCAATAGAAAAATATATCATAAAGACAAAACCTTCAAGGTATTTCAAGTTCTCAAACAAGTTCAAATACTTCAACGAAAAATTTGTAAACTATAAGGCAATAATTTGTGTTTTTTATGATGTTTCACATACATTTACTTAAAATGTATTCTTAAAAAATTTATATGTTGAATGCCGCAAAAATGCATGCTTCTGTAAATCAATTTTATAAAATTTTATGTAAAATAATAATTTTTTTGGATTTTCATTTATTATGTCAGATATAATTATTATGTATTTTTTTCTCACAGCAGTATTGATGCGTATCGCTATGTACAATTGTGTACTACTATGTACCGCTTTGTACTTCTGTGTATTGTTGTATATTACTATATATTATTAATAGCAATGAACTTTTTGGAACGAACATCTTACTTTCCTATGAAGTTTGAAGGTTTTTTTATAAAATTTAATTCAACAAATCTAAATTTTTCATCAAAAAGAGGATCAGCTTATTCATTTGTTATCTTAATTCTGCATCACACATTAATTTTGCTATTTGTTCCCTACAAAATTTAAAAACGAAAAAGTTATAGCCAATTTGGTGTTGTACTTGAATAATTATGATCATAACAATTTCTGGTCATGTGGTTTGACTTTAATGCTGCTTGGTGCAATTGAGCATTAATAAAAAATAACTATGATCATAACAATTCAATATTAGTGGGCATCACGGTTGTGAGGCTTCCTTGTGCTATCTAGCGGTGTCAAAATTGACAAGATCTTAAAATTCGACTCGCACTCTATCAGAATATTTTGGGTTAGGGTCAACCCGTTTTAAGAACGAGTCGGGTTCAGGTCCCAATTTTTTACCCGTTTCAAATTTCATGTCGAGTTCGAGTGAACCGGGAAACCCCGTTTTTGACCAAGAAGCAACAAGTCAGACATGTAGAGGGGTTTGGACTTCGGGCTGATTAACGGAGGCGAAAAAAAATCGAGCAAGTTGCAGCTTGATGTCACAAAGCTCTCCCGCCTGCAGCAGCTTATCGGCGCCGACGATCGTGAAAAGCATGTACGAACAGGCCGCCGACGATTGCGAAAGGCTACCGCCAACGATCGTGAAAAGCATGTACACCGTGAACACGTATGCAAAAGCATGTACGCACAACGGCACAGGCGGTTGACGATCGTGAAAAGCACATACACACATAGGTTGCTCGATTATTGGGTCATGTTTGGTTGACCCACATCCGAAGCTGGTTGGGATCGGTCATGTCAACTTGTATTGGGTCAGTTTCAGATTAGACCCGAACCGGACCCGTTACTTGATTTTGACATCCCTAGTTCTATCACTATTAGCCCTCCCATTACCAGTTGTTAACCCAAGAGATGCAATGAAAGAAATAAGTTTTTTTTTTAATTACCCACAATTAGCTATAATATTAAAGAATTAACAACAACACATACAATCAAACTATGACAAAAAAAAAAGCTAGAAACTTGAAATTGATCTGGTTGAAGAAAAAAATATCCACCACACAAATAATATCAGGGAATAGCACCTATGAAGAATAAACATATAAATTTTTTCTTGAATGAAGTCAGTGAGCCATTCAATATCCCATATTTTTCTATTCTATCTCATTCACTTCCATTCTTTTTATTATTCATTTTTTTGGCAAACAAAAGAAAATAGAGTTTATCCTCCAAAGAATCTTTAATTTTTCTTTTGTGAGGGTGTATATATTTTTAATGTTTTAGACAACTTATAATTTATTTTCAAAATAAACTTAATTATATTAATATGATATATATATATATATATGTTTTATAAACATATATCAAGTTTTATTTTATTTTGAAAAATTAATTAAATGCACTTGATACTAATTTAATACTCAATACATAGCAGTAGATAATGACACACAATAATACACAGCAGTACACATCGATACACAATAATGCACAACATCAAAATGAACAAAATATCATATAAATGAAAGAGAAACAATGCATAATAATTACATCTGAGATAATAAATGAACGTAAAAAAAGTATCATTTGAGATAAATTTTTGCATAGTTAACTTACAGAAGCATGTGTTTTCGCCGCATTCGACATATAAATATTTGAGAATACATTCTAAGTGAATTTGTGCGAAATATTGCAAAAAATGCATAAACCATTGCTGCCAAGTTTATAAAATCCTCGTTAAAGTATTTGTGCTTGTTTGAGAACTTGATATGCCTTGAAGGTGAACACAATTATGTTGTATTTGTCTTTATGATAGATTTCTTTGTTGAAAAATTAAGCTCAGAAAAATGTATATTGCCTCATAATATTACAATTAAAAGAAATTATTAGCTAGGTGAGTAAAATGCGCCTTACTCTTAAACTTTTTCTTCTTTTACAATGGCTCTGTAGAGAATGTGAAGTCCTCAAAATCAATCTCCATCTTCATCGTCTATTTGTCTTTTTATTTTTCTCAATAGGCAACAAAAGTTTTATTATGCAACAATCCTAAATATTTGAGAGCTTTCACATTTTTCTTTTTTAAAAGTATAAAAAATGAGTGGACCGTCGGGATTTCAAAATTTTCATAGCTAGGCTGGGCCGGGTCGTCAGGTCTTAAGAAATCTACGTGTCTTAATTTAATTGGAGTTCAGACATAGAGCTGCGTTTATAGTCTGCACAAAATAATTTCCCCTGTGATTGAGAGGGCTGGAGATGGAGAAGGGCGAGAAAAGAGTGTAGTCTGCTTCGAGGGGCTTCGAGATATATGATTGCAATCGAGATGGGAAAAGAACGAAGAGCAAAGAAGGGGTTGCCTAAAATTGTTAAAATGAGTTTGGGGTTGAGTTCAGTCCAATCTAAAATTGATCTGTCTTTAACTGTCCATATGAATTCAACCCAATTAGATAAATGGGTTAGAAATTAAGATCCGGACCCAACATGTCTAACTCGAGTTGACCCGACCCAACCCGACTTGTTTACTCGCTAAGCATTAGGTTTGATAGTACAATAGGTGGGCATCGAGCATAGGCCGCATGGTAGCGGGTGCTAGCTAGGGCCTAACTGCTAGCGGGTGAGGGAAAGACTAGGAAGGGGCGAGGTCGTGAGCGGGTGAGCATAAATGTGCGAGCATTGTTGCAAACACTACGCAATCACAGATGCGAGGTTGTCAATATGAGTGCGAGCTAAGGTATGGTAGAAGCGGTGCAGAACACTAGTCAAATTTGGTTCATTTTTTGTTTAGTATGTTAACTAAGACATAACCTAATTTTTCAAATGTGTCAGGAATTAGGAATCGAAATAGAATTTTTCAGATCGGGTTTGATTTGGGTCAATATATAATTGACACCCCTCGGGCTACCATCATAGATAGAAGTGTTAAGCACCTAATAGTAGGGGGGAGTAGTTTTAGGTTCAACTAGGCCGGTTGAATGGAGATTAGATATGGCGGAATTCAAAAGTACACACAAATTACTCCTCATTGCCTCAATTTTTAAGGTTGTAAGGGCTACAAAAAATGCCATGTAAGAGAAGCTTGAAAAGTATAATGCCTTAAAGAATACTCGTACAATAATATATGCTACCTTAGACTCATGTTACTTCATGGTTGGTTGAAGGAGGGTAAGATTGGAAAGCTTCAGCAAGTTGCTTTCGACAAGTCTAGTGATGCTGAGTGGGTAAAGAGCAAGTGTGATTGGGCAAAAATAAAGATGGAAGGGGGCTAGCGGCTTGTGAATTGATTAATTTAGCCATTGACCTGTAAGGAAGCTTCAGGATCAATTGAGATAGGAGAGTAAGATTTTGTTGATGGAAATGAGAGCTCTGGCTTGGACAATCATAATGAGTTGAACTAATGTCCCTCGAATAGTTGCCTTCATGTAGATGTGTAGCTGAATTTGGATGATGGGAAAGTCATTCCAAGAGAGAGTGAGTGACTAGAGAGAGCGAGTGACTGGGTGGAGTTTGGGCACATGGCGAGTGCTTTATTGTTGAATTGGTGAGGAATCTCCAAACCACCTTGTTTATGGTGAGTTCTGTGATAGACCCAAACAAGTGATGCCTATTGATATGGCTGGGGTGAGTATTACTTATCTTAGATTGTTCATGTGAGTTTCTCCCATGGGCACTTGCAAGGTGAGTTCTTCTATCACAACTTGCTGCTAGCCACTTGCTAAATATTTGAGAAGGAATATGTATAAAGACCTTAATCTTAGCAAGATTAAACACCCATTAATAGCCTATAAATGATCCATAAAAATTTCCTCCATGCATGAAAATATGTGTGGGAGCACTCTGGCGCTATGCTTGTGAGCACAATGGTGCTTTCCTCTGTTTATTTTGAGTTCTGGTTGTGTGGGTGCATTAATGCTAGGCATTCAGGTTTGAGGTATTCAAATGGAGCCTTACGACATTGAGTTCAAGAGCACTGCAACACTTGAATGATAAAAAATATTATATAAAAATGTTTCATTTCATTTACTTAAAACCCTCACCACTCACATCACCCTGGGAAGAGAATAAGATATAGAGAAAAAAAAAAAAAGAGAAGACAGAGAAAGTAAGGCCCAAGCCATTAATTTTTGGCGCTCAAGTTATAAAAATGTTCTAATCATGATGGGTAATATTTACCCTGCATCTATTTTTAGTTGATTTTGATTTCCATGATTTTATCCCCCTAATTCAATAAAATATATTTTCTCTTGATTTA